TAATATACTATAATATATAATATAAAAATTAAAAATAATAAATAAGTAAATAAATATAAAATAAATAAAGATATAGTTATATATATCTATACACACACACACACACACACACATATATATTTATATATGGGGTTTATATAGGGCTTTCATATGCGTTTTCCTGGCTGTTTATCAGGCCTGATAGTACCTCCTTGAAGAAAAATTGCTTTTATTATAAAAACCAAGCAGCTGAAGTTGTTATTGAGGTCGTGGATGTGAAGGCAAGAGGAAGCACTGCCCTGGGAGCTCCTGGTGCCTCTCTGGAATCGCAGCCAGCAGGAAAACTTGGCAGAGCTTTGCTGTGCCTCAGCCCTGCCCGGGTTCAGCAGGGCTGATTGATCAGCCCAAGGCTGCAGAAATTGGGGTGAGGGATTCATTAGCCTGGGATCAGCCCTCAGCCCTGGATGCACTGCTTGCTTCAAAATAGGTAATTAATGGTGCTTTATTTTTCACGTTTCCAAGGCAACACAAACCCCCAGGACATTGTTTTCCAGACCATGAACTGATGCTTTTGGCTGCTGCAGAAGCTCCCCATCTCTTCTGAAGCTGCTGAAAAGGTACCAAAGCCATATTTTTTGTCATTATAGTCTATTTACATCCTATATCCAAAAAGTAATGATGATCAGATGCCGCTGCTGAAATGATCTGCTCTCACTGCAGAACTCATTCAATCAGCAGAGAGCTCTGCTATTCAAATAGATAATTAGTGTTGTGACAAGGGTGACTGTAAATGCCTCAGTTTGGTGGCAATGTTAGGAAGTGTGACAAAAATTAAATTATTTGTCTGCCTTAAGCATGGCCCTCCTTGGATTGCTAATGAGGGAAATTCTTGTTAAACACGTGTCCCGTTCAGAATCCTTTACAGGTGCTGGGAAAATGATTTATTCTTTGTATCATCAGGGGCAGGAAAGGCAGGGCTTTCCCCTGTTTTCTCTGACTCTTTTTTGTGCTTTTACCTGAGGTAAGAGATCATTGCTTGTGCTCCAGCACAAAAGAGAGATCCCCCAGGGACAGCAATCCCAATGGACACCTTTCCAGGGCCCATCTTGAGAAGGAATTGGCTCAGGGAGAGCCTTTGAGTGCTCCAGGCTCAGGGGAACAGTCCCAGCAAACAAAACCCAGCTTGTGCTGCTGGAAGTCCCATCCTCCCTTTGCAGCATCAGGAGGCTCCCAAGGCCCTGAGCAGGAGGATGCAGTGGAAGCAGGGAGCCCCTCTGGAGCTGCCCATTGTTACTCTGATTTTATAAGTTTTTCTAAGCCTTCTGGTGTTAATATTTTTGTAACGAGCTTTCTTTCACACACTTTATGTAAAGAACTTATTGTTTTTCATTCCTTTATGGAGGAGGAGAATTTTAATAGACTGTTGGTTTGTCCAGTGTCATTGGAGAGGTGGCACTTTCACCCTCCAATCCACTGCCACTTTTGGAAATCTATGAATGTTGGAGTCAGAAAATCAAAGGTCTCTTTTTTGCCTTGGGAAGAGCAGTGAGTCCACGTTGGGTTGTTTCATGTCCTGTAGTGACAGCCCATGGCTTTTGTGCAAAGGAATCACTTTTACTGTGCTTTTGAATCCATGGCCACGTGCTTTGGCAGCTGGGTTCAGGTCCCACCTTTGCCCAAGGGGATGCAAACCCTCCCTGTGTGTGGGACAGCCCAGTCCTGCACCCCTGGCTCATGATGGAGCAGATCCCTGTCCCCCCTCCTGCAGTTCTGCATCCCCAGGAGTGCAGGATTTGGGATGGTCAGGGCTGAGCAGGCAGCAAGGAGCTGGGCTCCCCCAGGAATTTCTCTTTCCTGATGGACATTTTTGGCTGTCCCACTGTCCTATGAGCTGTTTTGAGTTTAAATTGTCACAGGCTGAGGCAATGAACATCCTGAAGTTGCATCCTTTCACAGGCTCCAACGGGATGCTTTTGATTCTTCCTTTTTCAGCCTCTGCCAGTGCCTTGATGCTCTCCCCACAAGGGAATTAATCACTGGGAAGGAATGGAGAGCACAGCACAAAGAGCAGGCATGGTCCAGGCCTCGCAGGACTAATTATGCTCTTAAAGGGTAAGAAAATAATCTTGGGTACATTGGGAAGAAAGTGTCTCAGTAATGCTGCATGGGGTTACAGGCTTGTCTCCTATATTTGTGCATTTGAAAAAAAAAAAAGAGTTTCAAAGACACTTTTTGACCTCAAAAAGATCAGTGAGGAGTTCAAGAAAAGAAATTTAATTCCAAGTTGAGTTTATCATGTTTGCTTGACCCTTAAGGATGGAAAAAGCAAAGGAAGGATGCACATGAAGGTCCTGTGAAATTCTAATACTAAAACACTCTGATGCACAAACTGTGAAGTCTGAAAGCAGAGTTCAGACCCAAAGCAAGCGAGGAGCAGGGTATGAATTCCAACGAGGGCACTGCAGACACTGCAACCTGGCAGCTCAGGCTCTGCAAGAGCAGCCAAAGGAAAGGTGAGAGTGTTTATTGAAACACCAAACTTCTGGGGGCAGCTCTGGGGTGCATCTGAGAGCCAGGAGAGAGGACTGGCACCCACAGCCACTGGCACAAAAACAGGGAAATGGACCCCAAATTGGTGTAGGGTTATTTGAGAGGGACAGTGGGCTGTGTTTGTGGCACATATTTGTGCACAGACACACTGGTGCCCTCTGAGGGCACCTCCTGGGGACAGTCTCCTGCCTCTGGCACCAGCTGCCAGCACGAGAAGTGGCAGAGCTGGCACAGGACTGTCCTGGAGGGGATGCCCAGGGGTGCCAGTGGGTGTCCCACCCTCAGCCACCTCGGGAAACACTTCCAAGCCAAAGGTAAGGCTTTAATAACTGCAACAGAGCTTGCTGAGGCTGCTGAGCAGGAGTTCACAGAATTCACAGAAGGACGAGGCTGGAAGAGACCTTCAGCATCATCGAGTCAAACCCAGCCCCAACACCTCAGCTAAAAGCTGCCTGTGCTCAGCTGGGGCTGGGCTCTTTCTCCAGGCAGCACTGACAGAAACAGAGCACACAGCCTCAAGCTGCACCAAGGATATCAGGAAAAAGTTATTTACAGAAAGGGTGATAAAGTTCTGGAATGGCTGCCCAGAGAGGTGGTGCAGTCACCATCCCTGGGTGTGTTTAACAAAGCCTGGATGTGGCACTGGGGGCCAGGGTTTAGCTGAGGTGTTGGGGCTGGGCTGCACTCTATGCTTTTGAAGATCTCTTCCAACCTGGTCATTCTGTGATTCTGTGGCTCAGCCTGGAAAATGAGACACTGTCCTCTTTCCTGGGCTGCTCCCTCCTCCTCAGAGCCCCAAGCTCTGGGATTGTCAGGAAATCCTTTTCCCAGAGGACCAGGCTGCTCCCAGAGCTGCTGAAGGCTCCACATCCCCCATCCCTGGCAGCTCCCAGGCTCCAAGTGCCTCTCCCCATCCATCAGCCCTGATAAAGCTGCAGAAGGTGCACTCAGGTCTGTCTGAGCTGAACACATCCCTTTTATTGATTTGCAGTTCACAGCATTAGCATAAAACAATCAAGGTGGTTGTTTCCCCTAAGAGAGCCAGGGCCTGTTTACAAACCCATTTTATTTTCACAATTTTCCATTGTTATTTATTTCAGACAGAGCTGTCAGATGAATGCACTCCCTTATGCTGGACAGCTTGCTTTATTGCCTGTTATTAAGACATAACAGATATAACCTGACAGGCACTGCCCACATCTGCCTGCCACCACTGAAAGGCAAATTAAGTAGAAAATAGAGATCTCCAATATTTCTTTGGCCTGAAGTGATATTAGTTCTTAACTCATTTGGTATTCATAGAGGATCCTGCATGTTTGTAACATATCCCACAGTAAACTGTTCAAAGGAAAAGTTGGCTTTTAAAAAAATTCTTACTCCAAGTACCTCTGAGAAATCCAGGCTTTAGAATACAGCTCTGATGTTGGATGAGGAATTGAAAAGAATGCAATTTTTAAAACTGTGACTGAAGCCTACCATTGTTCCTTATGAGATTTCAAATATTAGATGTGACAAAGTGCTGGTTATTTGGGGAGGCCCAAGTCCAATGGAATGGCAGAACCACCATCCCCACCACCTGCAGTTCCTGCTGTATAATTCTAGTCACATTTTTTATTAGAATTTTTCTTCCTTTTACTTTTTTTTTCACCCCAGGACTGAGTTGCTAATTCAGGACGGTCACAGGAGCTGCTCTGGAAATGCCTGCAAGAGGTAGGATTATCCCGTACTGCCTCTCCACCTTCTCCTCCTGCACCTTCCCAATGCCAGCTTGTTTTTTATCAACTCACTGGAGAACCAAGACACTTCTCTTAATGCAAATAACCCTGAGCTGCATTTACATGATAGGAGGAATAAAGAGAGATCAGTTTAAAGAAAGATTAATCTGGACACTGGGGGAGGCAGAGCAAGGCAGGAGTGTCCACCTACAACCATCTGACAGGAAAAACCTGATTTATCCCAGAAAAATGACTCCACTCTTGTGTGTAAGTACACACTTGTGATTTGTTGGGATCATTATTAACCCTTACTGCAGCTGGATCAGCTCCCTATAATGCAGGTAGAACCCACACTTCAAAAGCTTAAAGTAAATAGTTGTGAAGTGCCTGTGTTCCCAAGAAAAAGGTTTTTAGTGCTGGAAAATCTCAGGTTTTATGGGAAGCTGCAGTGTGTAAGCAACAGGCAACTGCAGCAACAAACAGGAGCTGCAATTTAATGCTAAATAGTGATACACTGAATACATTATTATAAAAAACTGACTCTTCTTCAGTGTAATTACAGTGGGGTTTTTTACATTATAGGGAAGAGGAAACAGCCTGATTGGGAAATGAAGGTGGATTTTTGCTCATCCTGCTGCAAACCTGTAGGCAGAGGTGAAGCTCAGAAACTTGAGCACAAGCACTTTTAGATTTATTAAACCCCCAACATGTGCAAATATGTAATAGGAACAAGTAATAACACTTTGAGATATTCTATTATCCCTCTATGTAATAAATATTTTATTAGAGCAATAGAAAAGAATGCATACAGATAACCATAGGATACACACACACCTGGAAGTTCAAGGATAAATTTCAACCTTTTCAATATGAAACAAGGTACTGGGTACATATCTCATGGAGATATAGAACTAGAAATCAAGCAATAATACAATGTAAGTGCATGAAAAATGGGCAGTACAGGAACCTGGACTAGAATTTTCTGAAACAAGAGAAAGAGTCACCCTTTGTTGCATGAAATAGAACTATTTACTCACTAGGAACACCTGGATTTCCATGTCCCACCCACCCCCGTGTTTGCAAGTGTCTGAAAACAACACTGGTAAGCCACATGGAAAAGCAACTAATTTTAAACTCAATTGTAGCTCTCTATTTACAGTATATACAGCTCCTGCTTTCCTCAGCAGCACTTTGTCTCATCTGGAGCTCATCTGCCAGCTGAATGCATATCAAGGTATTTTTTCTACAGTGCTACCATAGTTTCATTAATCCTGGTTCTCCCTTTGTAGGTCTGCGTGTTGTAATAGAATTGTGGAATTTAAAATCCCCAGTCTTTAAGAGGAAATGATTTATCTCATGTGAACATGTGCTGGAGCAGGGATGCTGTGTCCTCTCTAAAAGTTGTCTGAAAGGCTGATTTGACTGAAGCCACAACTCCTGAAGTCAAATGGACCAGGCTGAATGTATCTTTAATTTACTGCCATGAAAGAAAGCACAGATTTCTCTTCAACAGCAAATGGTGTTGTATCATTTTTTTATATCCTAATATTGCCATGAACTTCCCAGACTCATGTGACAGCAGTGGGGTGCAGCTGAGAGCCAGAGCAGGTGGAACAGTTCAGAACTGGTTCCAGAGCAGCAGGAAGGAGAGGTCTGGCTGTAACTCTGAATTCAGGGTGTTTGCAGTGCAGTGTGGCAGAGAAATGAGCAGGAGAATTTGGGGTGCAGGTCCGGGAGCACCAGGTCACAAGGAAGGGAGGGAAGGGTGGCTGTCCCTCTTCACAAGGCCATGGTGCCCCTGCAGCTCTCCAGGGCTGCCAGCTGGGCACCTCAGCTCCTGCAACATTGGCAGCAGGGCAAGCACATCACCCTCAGGGTGGGGGAGTTTGGTTATGAACAGAGAACCTGGTTAGGAAAGGCAACGTGGGGAGATGAGGACATGAATTTCAGAATTTACTGAGAAGGTGCACGAAAACATCCTCAAATCACAGCTGGGAGATCATTTCTTAGGAGCAGCAGTGGAGGCCCTGCCTTTGCCCTGCTCCAGATGGGATTTCTTTGAAGGAGATTTCTTTTGGGATTTCTTTCCATTTAGAGCAACTCCCACAAAGGGCAGCAGGAAAATGATCCCAGCTCCTGGGTGATGGCACTGCCTCGGTGGTCGTGTCACCCCCCAGCTGGTAACAGCCACAGCTCTGATTTCATCTTTTCCACGTCAAATGTTATTTTAGCAATGCAGAACAGACCCACAACAATTCAGGGCTGCTGCAGAAATGTTGTTTCTCACTCTCCCACCTCACCCTGACCTCACAGTGCCATCCCTCCCCCTCTCTCTTAACACTGCATCTGAAGTATGTAACATGTAAACTCCTTTGGTTCAAGTATTAAGGCATTTTAGATTCCTTTTTAAAGGATTTGCTAAACTTTACATGGTATTTTTTACTTCAACTTACAGTGAAATATAAAGAATTTAAAAACACGTCAGGATAGAAGAAAAAAACCATGCATTAACCACTGCAGTTTTTTTAAAAAAAGCACTTTAGTAACCAATTTTTTTTTTCCCCAGCAAATGCAAATGTATCAGCACAACACAGAATTAAGGGTCAAGGAAAATATTGTTGCTAAGAAGCTGGAGACACTGAAGATACTCAAGACTGATGGGCCAGAACCTCTTGCATCCATACCTGTGACAAAGGAAAGAATGAATTCAGCATTAAATGAAAGCGTAAGTATGTACTGTGCCACATTATTACTCTTCCTGGATGCCAAGCAAAAATTACTGTAATTTTTTTCTTACAAGCACTACAGATTTTCTGTATAAAAATACAGGAAATATTTAAAAATTACAGAGATGCTGTGATCATGAAGGGTTTTGGTGCTCTGGTTTAGCTGACAGGGTGGTGTTTGGTCAAAGGTTGGACTCAATGATCTTGGAAGTTTTTTCCAACCTTAATGATTCTGTGAGTCTGCTTTCAAGGTAATAGTTTGGGTTTTTTTTTTAAAAAAAGGAGAAAAAGTAAAAAAGGTAACATTTTCAATACCAATTTACATGGCAATTTACCAGTTCAGCAGAATGCAGTTTGCCATGCATAAGGGCATGAAGATTTTAATTGCTTTCCTTTTATTACCTTATTACCACACAACGTCTACACATTAATTTTAGGTTTTTTCCCCCCCATGACCAAAGGAAGCACAGACAAGCTGGGACAAAGGAAAGTGGTTCAACCTACTGGCCAGCCTGGGGATGAGGATCTGCTCGCTGCTGCTGCCATCTCCCCCCTCGGTGGTGGCTCTGACCTCGATGAGATAATCGTCCTTGAGCTGCAGCCACAGCTCGGCCGTGGTGCTGGCCGTGGTCAGCACCTGCACCCCGCTCTGGCTGCTGCTCCTGTACAGCACCTGCAGCACAGCACAGCCTCAGCACTGCCCTGCCTCCAACAACAGGGCTTCAGCTCTCAAAAGGGATGGCATGAAGGAAAAGGTCGGATTTTTGGTTAATATTCCAGGGCGGAATTTTATTTAAGGCAAGAAGGGAATGTCAATCAGTGTTCTCTTTTAAACGTTGACTCAAAACGTTCAAAAACATTTTTTTGAATGTTTTTCATTCAAAAAAAGAATGAATTCTTCATTCATTTTCAAACATTTTTCACCTTTTATTCCAAATTTAATTCAAATGGCACAATGGATGCTAATACATTTCTGTATTATTTTTATTACAATACTATGAAATAATGGGGCACTGGAACAAACTGTAAACTTGTTTTGTACATCTTGCCAAATACTTCTTGCCAATACAACTTGATGGGTGATCAGATCTTCAGCCTAAACCTTTTATTCAGGATTATATCATGTGGGATCCAGCTGTACAGAGTTTAGCAGGAGCATCCTCAGCTGTTCATTTACACACACTTTACATGACATTTTTAAACACTTCTACATTTGTGCACTGATTAGATTTAGAGCAGGTGGAACAGGATAATTTGTATCAGGGAAATGAGCATGGCCCCCAGCAGGTAAGAGGAGAAAGATTTAGAAATATCAATTTAATGTGTGTGATAATATATAATAAATACACCTGGCCAGCAATGGAAGCTACATCCATCAGGCTAAATGCTTTTGATTTCTTTCAAAGTTTTATCCATTTGGGTAAGTGTTATACATTTAAAATAAGAGTTATGGATGTTTAAATGTTCTCAGATCCAGGTGTGGGTGGGATCCCAGGAGCTGAGCAATGCCAGCATGGGAAGGAAAGGGGACTGGGGGACATTAATGGTGAGACACTGTTAGAACACATATTTAAAATATTTAAAATCCCTAAAAAGGAGACCCCAGTGAAATGCTTTAGCGTGGGATTGTGCATGCTCTGACCATGCAAACAGACAAGGAAACACCAGCCCTGGGCTGTTCCCAGCTCTTCCCCACTGACCTTGTAGCCCGTGACCTCGGACTCGTTGTCCATGGCTCTGACCTCCTCCCAGCTCAGGACAACCCTGGAGTCTGTCACATTCCACACCACGTTTCCTGGAGGCTGGCTGGGTGCTTCAAACACACAACAAAAGCACGACTTTAATTTAATTGGCATTGGTGATTGATTCACCAGCTCAGGTAATTGGCTGTCATTGCATTTGGGATGCAAAGTCAGCTCCAGTGCAGGCTCCTCTCTGTGCACGTTATGGTTCAGAGGCTGAATTCCAAAAACAGAAGGAAGGAAAAAGCCAGAATGGCACGTAAACGTTGTTTCTGAAGCTGAAATATCTGTTGCTGGTCCTTCACTCAATACAGCCAGACAGAAGCATGTACCCTAGGACATGGGTGATTAATTAGAAAACTCCAATGAGATGGTATCAGACAATTCCTATGTTTAGTACAGTGCCAAGAATAAGAAAATTCTTCACAATAGATGTTTAGACAAATTTAGTCTCAGTGACTATTCAAATTTGCCCACTATATTGATTTTACTTTAAGATGTTATAGAAAATATTTGCAGGCAGATGTTTAGACAAATTTAGTCTCAGTGAATATCCATATTTACCCACTATATTGATTTACTTTAAGATGTTATAGAAAATATTTGCAGGGGGTTTTTTTGTCTCTTGGCTCTTCCAGCTCGAGCTGCGGTTCTGAACTGAGCCTGTGCCAAAAGTGGGCTTTGGCCACAGAAATCTGCTGGCATTTTTGGTTCATTAGCAACCCAAGGCTGTTATTTGCAAAGCAGCTGCATGCTTTGGGCTCTGCCCCTTTCATGTACCTTGGAGCTGCCAAGCTTTCAGGGAAGTACAAACCTCCTCAAATACCTCAGGTTGGTTTCCCAGAAAATAGGTCCTGCAGTGACACAAATCAATGATTAAAATCTTTTCTAAATGTGTTAAGGAAAACAATTTACTGTTGCTGTCACCTAGTGGAGGCAACTGCTGCTTAGGTGGGCTGAGCTGTGCTTTGAGACTGGAAGTTCCAGCTTTAAGCACTGGCAGTGGTTTTGAACACTTATATCCATGTGCTTATGGGTTTTTCCTCTTTTTATCCCCCTCCTCTTTTCAATTCTCTCACACAGGAAGTTCCCTGCCTTCTTTCCATAAGCAGTCAAATCAAAACCCACCTGATTATACTCAAAAAAACCAGAAAAAAACCCCTGAGACTTAAAAGAATTATTTCAAAGTCAACCAACCACCCACAGCTATTTTCTTTTACTATTTGTCTTGTTCTGTGTACTGAGGAAGGTTTAACCTGATGTTCTAATAATAACCACTCCTTGTAAATGTAAGAGGAGATTGTTTCACTCCTGAGAATGAAGTGTTACAGCATGTATGAATCGTTTTCACACTGAGATATTACAGCTGAATTTCAAAGGAAATGAGTCATCCTTGAAATCCACAACAAAATATTAAGATGACACGTGGAAAAAAAATGAAGAGTAATTATCTATAAAAACTGTAAGCCTCTGTCTGAGGGATTCAGAAGCTCCATTTGCTGCAGACACCAAAATCCCCAGCAACCACCAGAGTTCAGAACTTGGCTTGTGGCAGGTCCTGGTCCATCAAGTCACGTCAGGACACGCCCAAGGAGCTGCAGGGAATTCTGAGCTGCTCAGGGGCTAAGGCTGAAATCAGGCAGGAGCATTTCTCACAATTAAGAGCTGATGGACAGAATATTGGGTTTTATTTTAAGGCTTTCAAATATGAAATAACTGTCACAACTTAGGCAAGTCTTCCCCACCCACTTGGCATTTTACATAGCAGTATTTTAAACCTCCACTTGTTATTCTGGGCTGTAAACGTGCATATTTCAAATTTTAAAGCAAAGATATTTTAATTGTCAAAGGCTCACTTTCAATTTTGAAATACACACTGCCAGTAGAACTGAACTATTTGTATTCCTTGATATGGCAAAGCGTTTCTGAGATGTACCTGTCAGGTCCTGTGGGGGAATGCAAACCCTACTCAGTGAAAACCACACCAATCACAAATATTCAAATTAAATTACAAAGCAGGATTGATTAAAAATTACACATTTGAATGAAAAATCAGTTTTTACTGCAGTAGCACGGAGAATTATTTCTCTCAGCAATTCAACTAATTTATCAAAATTTTCACACTGACATGACATGGCTTTGCTCTCCTTATTCACCAGAAAGATCCAGGGACATAATGCAATTAATTTTCTTTTTTAATTATTCCAAACAGCAGCGTCTTGCCCAAGGATCCTGTCCACGCCAGTGAGATCAGGGGCTTGTCCAGTTCTCAGTCACACACCCCAAAAGCAGGGGTCACATTAAAAAAGGACTGAAAATCCCTGAGCTGACCAGCCTGGCACCACCTCTACTGAGCAGCCACAAAGATGATTAATTAGAAAAAAATTCCTTTCCCCATGTCCTGTCCAGGCTGCAGGCAGTGAGTCACTTCAGACCAGCCAGTTCATGGTAATTGTGCATATAATATATTTAAACTCTGGCAAATCTGAGTTGGTTTAGTCCTCAGTGACAGACTGACACTCATTTTTGCACAGAATAATTTCTGATAAACTAGCTTATTTCATAATATTAATGCTACAACTCTGTCTGCTCGGGGGATGTTAATGACTATTGCAGGGAATTTGACCCTTCAGACAGATTTAATTGTCTGTTCTTGTGCCTCTGACAGAAACACTTCAAGACTGATGACCCTGATTCTGAGCTGTATTACAACAGAGGAGCACACTAAAAATATTTCCACTTGTAGAAAAATTAGTGCAGCCTTTGACAATCTGTTCTCCAGCTTAATTTTGCCTTTGCAGCAGCAGAGTGGCCTCTTGTGCAATTTGTTCAAGGGGAAATAGTGGACATGAAGGATTGCTTTGCATGAACTCCAGGAGGTTCATTGCATTTCAAAACCCATGCCCCTAGAGAACTTATAAATATGTTATAGAACACTGAAAAATTCAACAAGTCTCTTTTTTTTTCCCCCTCCTAAATAACTGAGATTTTTCTTTTCAATTTCTTCCAGTCATTAACAGCATAACAGAGGTTCAGTGCAGAAATTAGAGATATTCCTTGGGCTCCTCTGGCTTCCATCCACCCTGCTGAAGAGGAGGTGGAAGCTCTGTGCTTGACTCACGTGACTACATGGAAATCCAGGTCACTCATACTGTCATTCCCAGGAATTCCACTGCTCTTCTTTCCCCTCCCCGTGCTGCCACACCATTTGTGCCCCTGCCCACCCCAAACTGAGGTACTCACGTGGCTTTTTGGTGGTGGCATTGACGGTGGCACTGAAGGGCCCTGCCCCAGCGCTGTTGTAGGCACGCACAGCTGTGTAATAAGCCAAGTTGCTCCTCAACCCTGTGATTTTTATTGATGTTTCATTCCCTGCTGCTTTTACTCTGTTGGAAGATTCTTCTTTTTGGCCTTTATTCCAGTACCTAACCTAGGAGATAAAAACCAAAACCATTTAAATCTTGCATGGAATGGGCTGTTCACCCACAGCGTTGTACTCGACTCTTTTAAGTGCTTTTTTTTTTCCCCTTCAGCTGAAAAAGGTAGAAATACATTAAAGTTTCAGAAATATGTTTACTGTGCAAAAAAACCCCAAAACTCTTATCCATCTGCTTCTCACGCTTGCTGCTCTTTTCAGTGTGACTGCAGGAAAAAGACAATTGAAATATTAGATCTTGCTTGAACTAAAGAATGACAAGAGGAAAACCATTACTTCATTAAGAAGGAGACAAGTTAAGCTCAGAAAAATGTACCTTATAAAGAAGTTTCTTTGAAAGTAAATGGAATTCTGAAAAAATGTTAGCTTGGAGTTATGTCAGACACATGACTATCTATCAGCACAAGAAGCCAAACACAACTTCACTCTGTGGGGTTTTTTAACAAAGATAGAAAAAATTATCTTTCTTCTGGATGTAGGTGGGGCAGGAAGAGCAAGATTTGGGGTCAGTCTGTGTGGCTGTACCGCAGCCTGCACGACCCTTCTGGCCCATGGCCCTTTACAAAGAGGAGTGCATTTTATTTAATAAAGAGGGTTGATTCATTGAAGTATTTTTTATTTCCACAGACTCACCTCATAGCCCAGCAGCCTCCCATTGCTCATCTTCCAGGGAATGGCTGTCCAGGACACCTGGATGGCTGAGGAGGACAGGCTGGTGGCAGACACTCCTGAGGGGGCTGTGCTGGGCTCTGTGTTGGGAAACCAACATGGGAGAGGTGACTGGGAATAAACCTGGGAATAAATAAATAAATCCTCATCCCAACCCACCTCACTGCCCCGAGCTGCTGCTGGAACTGATGCCTTAAGTTTAGCTTTTGTATTTTTTAGATTCTGTACTGCAGTGGTACATAACTCTGAATTTCATATGAAGTGTCAGCAGCTCTCCTCACAGCCCAGAACCAAGGACACCGCTGCAGCTTCAGCCCAAAAAGTGCAAATAACATGGAATGCAGGAGAGCAACCTGGGCGGGTGGGACTGCACCACCTGGAGCTGGAACTGGACAATGAACCCCAAAATGGAAATGGACCAAAACTTTTAAAAGTGTGAGAACTCATGACCCAGAGCCCACCTTGGGTGGAGCCGCGGCCTGGCTCTTGCACTGCCCAAGGAATCCTGTGAAGGCCTTTTAATAAACCCCTACTTTATTCCTTTAACTCTGCTCCAGGCAGCCCCTGCAGGCACCAGAGCAGCCCTGAGGGGTGTGGGGCAGCCCAGGGCTGTACCTTCCTCAGCTGAGAACACCGTGGCCACGGCGCTGAAGGGCCCCTCGCCCTTGTTGTTGTAGACGCCGACTTTGACCTCGTAGGGCGAGAAGGGCAGGATGCTCTCGTTCCTGAAGACGTATCTGGGGGTGTCAGGGGAGGTCACCACCGTCTGGATCCACGTCGTGGTGCCCGAGGGGCGGAAGGCCACCACGTACCCGAACCCTTCCCCGTTCTGCAGCTCCTCAGGGACGGGCTGGGACAGAACGACACCCGTGAGGCCTCTGGGGAGGCTGGGCAGGAGGAACTCAGGGCATGGTGCAGCTGTGGCACTGCACTCAGCATCAAGCCCCCAGCCAATTAACTCTGGTACAGAACTGCAAAACGTGCTCCCTACAACCTCTTTTAAGGTTTGCATTTCAAGAAGAGAACGACTTTTGTTGCCACAACTTTTGTTGCCACATTTCTCTTCACAGAGAAATGCAAGGCACAATTCATCCCAAGAATATTTCTGGGTTTCACATTCTCTGAACATCAGAGAAAGAAAACACACTTCTTATCTCACTTGCTGTGCCTGTGTTGTGCCAAAGTAAAATGGAATATGGAGATTGTTTACCCAAAGTGAGGATGTTTTGTTTCTTGGCCTATTAGGGGCAAGAATGTGTGTGTGTGTCAGAATTGTCACGAGACAGTCATGAGAGTGTCATGAGATGACTGCAGATCTGTGCAGTTCTGTGCAGAGTGAGTGCATGGCAGATTCACTCTAGATCTATGTAATATAGTATAAAAAAGTAATTAATTAGCCTTCTAATAAGATGGAGTCAGATGCATCATTCCCTCCCCTTTGTCAGAGTCGCCTTTGATTAGTAATAAACTTTCAGGTATAATCTCTGGTTTTCACTAAGTATTCTGCTTCAAGATGCTCTTCAGTAAATGCAGCTTTTCTTTCATAAATCCACAGTTCATAAAAAATGAATGATTGCTTGGTCAGCTGTTAGAGAATCCAATAGTATCATGGAGTGGCTGAAACCTTCTTCTGATATCATTATGATTAGATAACCACACAGAGTAGTCAATGCTAGGAAGAGAATATTAACAGTTCCTTAAATCATTAAAAAAGTGATACATAATATAAATGGAAATTGGTTAGCATGTGCATCCAGATTTAATGGTGGGAAAGCAAGAACTGCAAATCTGCACTGCAAAGCCCAATTCTTTGACTTAGCCCTCTTGCCCTGTCCTCTTGCCTCCTTTTTAGCATCAACATTTGTTTGAGAACAGAAGCAATCCCAGCCAAGCTGAATTCCCTGGGGATTTCCACCCAGCCCAGGGACACATGAGAGTTAAAGAACAAAGGCCAGTGTGCAGGGCTCACATCACACAGGGCCCAGAGCACATGCACATCCCAAAGGAGAAGCTGCTGCAGCCAGGGCAATTCAGAGAGAGGGGAAAGAAAAGAAAGGAAGAAGCTCTGTGAAGAGAACTTCTCCCCAGCAAACTTACATCCCACGTTATGACCAGCTCAGACCTGCTGCCTCCTCCCCCACTGACCTCAGAGGGGGGAATTTCAGGAACTGTGGGAAGGAAATGCAGAGGTGTCAGCACAGAGTAGAGGCAGGAGAACACACCACATCACCCTCATGCTCTGAGTTTAACCCATGTTCAAACTCCTTTTGCAACCAGGGGCAATGGTTTTGGGGTAGGAAATACTGGAGAGCCCCTGGAGAACATCAGCAGCTCACAGATTATTTAATTATTCATTAACCACTGCTGCTGTGTTTAGGAAATTCCAAAAACTGGAGACAAGCTTAATTTTCCCAGAGCTAACTCTTCCTGGGTTGGAAGAGGCCCCAAAGATCATCTTGTTCCAGGACACCTTCCAGTGGACCATGTTGCTCAGAATTCCCTGAACATCCTTGAACACTTCCGGGGATGTTATGGAGATAAACTGGGAAACAGCCCCATTCCAAGTGAACTTGGGTTGTAATTGATGAGTTCTTCTGAGCCACATGCTTGTTACATGGAAAGGTTTCACTGACCAAACACCAGGAATGAAAAATCCCCATCAAAATGAACCTCTTTGTATCCAGTAATACCTTCTGTCTCTGCAGCACTGCCTGAACTGGCAGATTTTGCTACAGTAAATGCAGTTTAAATGGATTTAAATGTTATTATTCTGTGGTGTTCAGTAATGCAACACAAACTGTCCCACAGCTAAATGGAAAAATATGAACAAACTTGTTACAGGCTTTTATATCCAACAGCAATTCCAAGCTTGTTTGCAAAGAGCCAAGAAGATAAAGATATGAACACTCCTTTTCTTTGTTAACATTCAAGATTCTTGAATTAAAAACAAATAGAAGGACCCACTAACCTGCCTCTTCAGTTCTTACTTTTTCTGAGGGCAAACTAGGCTCTCCACCTCCTATTTTGTTACTGGCAACTACACGAAACTCATATTCAACCCAAGGATTTAAATCCACTACTGTGCTTGTGAAGGTTTTCCCGTCGATCACATCCGGAACTGGGGAAGAAAAAGGGAAAAAGGAGCTCAGGAGCAGGGTGCCAGAGCCATTCCCACAGAGCCTGGGCTGGGAACTGTGCTCACCTGTGGTGGCTCGCTGCCAGCCCACGGAGAAGGGAGTCCTGGCCTGGATGGTGTAGGTGGTCACGGGGCTGTGGTTGTCCGTGCCCTCCTGCCAGGAGATCTGGGCAGTGGTGTCCGTGACCTCGTCCACCCTCACGTGCTCAGGGGGCCCAGGGGAGCCTGGAGTGGGGTGGGAAACCAGGCAGAGTTCGGTGGAGCCCTGGGAATCACTTCCAGCAGGATGGATTCCCATTTTTTTCCTTCCTCAGGGATGAGGAAAATTATTCAGACTGGAATCAGAACACTCGTAATTATGGTTTTACACTCATTAACTCTGGTAATTTCAACCTGAAATACTCTCAAGGGCAGAACTGATGACTGGGTTTTGGCTTTTTTACCAAGAACCTTGGTTCAACACATCCCTCTGTCCTTCCAATGTGCTTTCCTTTAGTCCTGAATGTCCTCTTTAATCTACAGACAAATCTCTGTAGTCTGGAAATTTTCTACCTACAAATTCTTTACTGTACAAGGCGCTGGAACAGATTTTCAGCACATGTGACCAGCACCCCAAGCAGCAATTCAGTCAGACAAACTTCCTGCTGCCTTCTGGAAAATCCTCATTCTGGGCATTTCCTGCCCAAAATGCTGGGTTTTGTCTCACCTGCACCAGCAAAGGGGGTTGAAATGAGTAACAGTGAGAAAATATCTGAAATATTTTAAAATATATTGAGCAAGTGCTGATCACATAATGTGCTTTTCTAGATCAAAGCTTTTACCTTGCAATAAATGTAGCTGTAACATCAGCAAAGAGAGCCACAGTTCTGGCTCAACTGTGAACATTCCAGCTAGGAAAGAAAAGGAATAATCCTGCATTACAGGCTTTAAACCCTAGGAAAAAGCCTCTCCTGGGCTCTGGCAGAATTGCCCATTTCACAGGAAGGATTCTGGAGTCCCCAACACTTCAGTCTGCAGAGGCTGCAACTCCAGCTGCCTCAGAGCTGCCAGTGAATTCCCTCTTGGCAGTGACCTGAAGGACTGGCAGTGAAAAGAGATGTGAAGTCACTATTACAACCTCCAGCTCCTCATTCCTCTAGGAAAAAAACAGGCTTCACCCAAAACCTGAGCTGTAATCCTCCCTAGCTGCAGGTCAGAATGACATAATTCAACTCACAGCCATTCATCACCCCATTCAAGCCATGCATTGGTTCTGTGACCTCTCCCATCAGTTATTTCTGTAGCCCGTGATTTAAAAAAAAGGTGGAAAGCACGATGCTGGGGCTGGGCTGGGACGCACCTCGCACGATGAGGTCGGCAGCAGAGGCCACGCTGTCCACCTCTGTCTTCACCATGCACACGTACTTCCCACTGTGCTTCAGCTGGATGTTCCTGATCATTAAATCCCCCGACGCACTCTGGGGAGCACAGAACATTCATTAATGCCAGCACTCCCCCCTCCATGTTTAGTGTGTTCTTTGAAAAGGGGAAAGAAATCCACCAAAAATTTTGTTGGATTTGGGGTAGGAAGTACTGAGGTTGCTCAAAAGCTGCACTGCAGGACAGCAAATTCCTGCCCATCAGCAGCTCCAGGCTTGTTGTCCAGGAGCATCTTCCCAAAACACATGAGGTGATGTCCCTTTTTTGGGAGAAATGAGCTCCAACATGGGGAACTCACACTGGGAGGGCATCTCCTGCCCGGAACCCCCAGTAACCTCAGTGCCCTGTGACCATTTGTCTCAAAGCCCTAAAAAGAGAAAAACATGTTTTCTGTGGCCATTACCAGTTTGATTTCTACACAGAATTCATGGAGGTTTTATCTGGAACTTGTAAGTCAAGTCATGACAGATTTTTAAGGCGTTCAAATGTGTAAAAAACAAAGATTAATTCAGTCCGTTCTCCAGGTTATTGTGAGCACTTTCATTTAAAGGTTGCACATTCCAGGCTGAATTTCCCATTTTACAAGCCCAAGTTCTACTCTTTGCTGTTCACTGAGTATTTAATCTTTACTCTTTTTTCCCCATTGCTCTCTCTCAGATCACAGCATGTGGTTATTTCTTGGATCATGGGAAAAGAAATAAAACCTGAATGAAACTGTAACTTCCTATCCTGTTAGGGCTCCTTGTGCAGTTTGTTTTCTACACCACTGAACAGAGAACTTGATATTAAACCTCTGCTAAACAGTGTCCCTTAAAAAAAAAAAAATCTCTGCTTTGTGTCAGCTCAGTTACTTAACTCAGTTCCAGTTGAATTTTCCAGGTGAAAAATGCCTCAGTCAGATTTTAATTTTTAAATTACAATTTTTCTGGACAAGCAGCATTTTCTTCAAGGACAGAACCCTAATTTGTGGGTATTTTCAGCTACTTTGGCCACTGATCCATTGGCAAACAGTAGTTTGGGAGAAAGGCAAAGCCATGACTTTGAGGTTTATTTTAGTCTTGGAAAAAACCATGAACCTTTCAAAACATTTGATTATTTTCCTTTGTTTCAGCATTACAATGTCTCAATTCTTTATTCAACACAAGCTGAAGCCAATTCTGCCTGATTCCCTTCCATGTGTGTGCCTGGTCTTCTGTGAAAGCACAGATGGAAGTTGTTTGCAGGACAATTCAGTGCTGATTGCTTACAATAAATTAAAAGTTGAGTCAAAAGCAATCTAAAATCCATCTCCTTGATTGGAAGTGGGTATTCAGGGAATGCCCAACACCAGCAGAGAATGCAAGCAAATCACGTCCTACACAAATTCCAGCAAACTCAACTTGAGACATCTCACCAAAGGGGAGGGGGGCTTCAAACAGAAGAGATTTACTTGAAATAAACCTCAGCAAAACGTTAACTCTAAATTTCAGTTATTTGTGGGGGGTTGGGAAGAGTCTCAGGGGACTGGGGGAGCAGAAGGAAGCTCCACTGTGTTGTAGTAAAGCAGATGAGACTCAGTTTCTTTGTGGAGGAAAAGCCAATTCTTTTGGGACTGGGGAGGGGAGAGGAAGAAGAGGGAAAAAGAGGAGAGGAGAGGAGAGGAGAGGAGAGGAGAGGAGAGAAGAGAAGAGAAGAGAAGAGAAGAGAAGAGAAGAGAAGAGAAGAGATCAGCTCACCCCTCCAACCTTCTCCAAGTGGGAGGCATCCCTCTGGAAGTCTGTGAGGCTCCCGTTGAAGTACCAGGTGAAGCTGATGTCCAGCAGGGGATCGTGCTGCACCTGGCAGGGCAGCACCACGCTCTCCCCAACGGTGACATCCATGTTGGAAGGAGCCAGGGTGATCCTGGTGGGCTCTGCAGGGAGCACAGGCATTGGTTATTGGATTTTTCTGCAATGCTGAGCTTTGCCTGACACCGATATCCCCCCATTCCTCAGCTGGGATCAGTGACAGCCACTTGTTGCAACAGGACACGAAATAAAATTACATGCATGCTGGAACTCCAAGGTAAGGAGAAGGGAAGTTTATTTTCTGACTCCAATATTTACAGACTTTCAAAAGTGACAGTGGATTGGAGGATGAAATTGCCACCTCTCCAATGACACTGGACAAACCAATAGGCCATCAAATTTCTCCTCCTCCAGAAAGGAATGCAAAATAATAATTATTTATATAAAAGTGTGTGAGAACTCCATTACAAAAATGTAAACATCGGAAGGCTTAGAAGAACTTAGAAGAACAGGGCAACAGGCACTTCCAGAGGTGCAGCTGGAATGGGAATGCTGCCTGGAGCTGTGTCAGGCAACAGCCACTTCCAGAGGTGCAGCTGGAATGGGAATGCTGCCTGGAGCTGTGTCCTGGCATTTCCAGCAGGAGCTGCTGGGCACTGGAAGGTGAATTTAAGCCTGCTGAATCCACAGGCAGGAATTACTATGGGAGGCTCTCAGCAACCCCACTGGGCTTTGAAGCAGCAGCAGGCACTGGACAGGTGAAGAGGTGGGAGTAAGGGAAGAACCTAATAAACCCCAGAAACTGCAGGAAATCCACTTAAGGAGGAGCACACTGGATATCTGGGTCCATACATCACACAGAACATAAATACTGTCATTAAGAACAGCTGTTTGTTATCCCAGAATCAGATTAACGGAGAAAAATTTCAGCTACTGTAAATACTGTAGCAGTAAAATTTAATTCTAGGAATTCTCTGTATATAATTTTATTATTTGTATATAAAGGGATATGAATCATTTAGGAGCACAGGCTGAAAACATGAAGCTGTTAATTCACTGAACAAAATAATTCTGTTTGGACCTATGAGATTTATAGGATATGTAATGCAGTGGGATATTAGATAATTCCGAGATTGGGAAATCTTTCAGATATTAAAATCTTTGAAAAAGAACACTATGAGAGAAGACATTTTTCAGATAAACTTCACAAACTCTTGGCTCTTTTCATCCAGTATCTCAACCAGCAGCCAGGAATGGATGACTTGGAGGAAGGATCCCTCTGAACAACAATTCTGTATAAAATTTACTTTTCAAAGACTGTGTTCTACTGCCCATGGAGTCCCTGAATGATCCCCTGCAGCTGGAGTTTCCACCACATCTTTTTCCATAAGCAAACAGCATTTAAACCTCTTTTGGGCAAAAGATTTTCGACTGGAATACAAAATTACCTCAAAGATTTTTTTTTGATTGACATGTTTTTTTCATAACAAATTAAAAACCCCCACGAACTTAAAAGCATAATTGCACTATTTAGTGTTTAGAGCAGTGAGAGGAGGGAGGGAAGTGTTCAGAACTCCCTCACATGTGAGAAATATCTCTGTCAAAGACAGAAAAAAATCCCTCAGTGTCTTTTACACTCATAAAAGAGCTGTAACAGCTATCCTTTTATCTTGATACATTAAATAAATAACTTCTCATACCCTTCACATTCTGCCACACCACTGCAGGCTCCCGAGGCTGCAATTGCAGCTCACCCACCTGTAACTATCAGGCTGGTGGAGCCCCTGGCTGTTCCAAACTGGTTTGTGGCCAGGCAGGTGTAGCTGCCAGCATCCCCCTTGGTCACGTTGGCTATCCTCAGCCCTCCATCCTGCAGCAGACTGATCCTGAAAAAATACGAGGAGATTTTGAAAGTCGTAGCATTTGTAGACAAAATGTTTTCATGCTTTACTGTTATCTCAGACATATTAAACTCTGTCAACAATTAGGAAGAAAATGAGCTCCATGCCAGCTGAAACCTGGGCAATTACCAGCCTGGGGTTTGAAAATAAGAAATTTGAACCCAACCATGTATTACTTGGGACATATCACTGTGAACCCAACCAGTAGAACCAGTTTTTTAAGAGATGTGGGCACACGTATGGGCGAGAAAGAGAGAAATCCCAAGTGAGTTCTGTCTTTTTTAGCTGCACCAATTGAAACTGGAATAATTTTCAGCTCTTTTGTTGTTTACCTCAAGCAGCCTTGCACAGCAACTTTGAAATAACTGTGATTACCATGACAACTCCATAGGGCTGTTCAGGAACTTCCTTTGTAGAAAGGACTTGCAGGACAGAAAATTCCCTTCACCCCACACAGTGAGAGCATGGAAAAGCAGGAATGTGCTTAGAGAAGATGTGGACTGAAGAAAACCCACAGAGGGACAGAGGACAGGAATGTCCCCACAGCAGAGGTGACATCCCAGACAGCAGCACTGCTGAAGCACAGGTAAGGCTGATTTGAGTCCTATTTTCCCTATTTTCTTGTCTTCCCATCTGTTCTACCCACAGCTCCAAGGACTTCTACCCTAAGACAACCTGCAAGCACCAAAAAACCTGAATATATAAAAAAATGTCCACAGTATTAACAAATTCAAAAAAATACCAATTTTCCTGATATGCCCAAGTCAAAAGGGCTTCAGAACTTTTCTCTCACAGCCCATCAACCCATCTGAGAGGCACCAAACTGGAGCACAGCACCTTGGCTGGGTGGTGATTTGGAAATTTGGGAACTGAGCTGCAGAATGAACAAACAAACCCTCTCCAGGCAAAGCTCTGCCTGCATTAGCTGAGTCCTGCTCCCTTTTAGGGGAAGTGCCAGCTGAAAAGGCAGAAAATGTCACCAAACTTGACACTGCCACCTTCCCTCCCTCAGAAGAGCTGGGGGGGTTCTGCCTGCTCACTTCCACCTGCTGCTTCACTCGGCACAAAAGGAATTAATTCATCCCACACCTTTTATTTTCAACACTCTGCAGGTAAAATGATGTCAGTAAATCCCCACCACTCGTCCCAGCTGAGTTCTGTGGCTGAATTCTGCTGTGTTGGGATCAGCTCTCCACCAGGCTGCAGTGAGGGCTGGCTCAGTCTCCTCCCGGGTGACAAGTGACAAGGAATGGCCAGGGAGGCTTACACTGGATTTTGGGGGAAATTTCTTCATGCAAGGGTGTTCAGTGATCTTATCCTGCACTCTTAACTCCTCTGACCCAAACCCACGTGCCCTAAAGGCAAATCCCAGCAGTGGGAGAACTCCAGGGCTCTGGAATTCCACTGCCCCACTCCGCCAGCAGCAAATCCTCCTCATCCTCCAAGCCTCTGAAAGCAGCAGTGAGCACTCTGCCACTGCTGCACTGCTCTGTACAAGGAAAACAAAGAGTTTTTGGAATTACAACACAGAAATATACACCACTTTTCAAGGCTTTTCCCTTAATTAGTGCAAATTGCATTTGGTATTTCCCTAAAAAGGGTGTTTCAGCTCTCAGTGCTGGAGCTGAGCTACTCTTCCTCTGGGCAGAGGTGGTGCAATAATGAAATTAGCAGATGCAAATTACCAGAGATAACAAGGCACCCTGTTAGAACAACAGACAAAAGCATCTTATTGGGGTGAGAAAGAGAGCTATAAATAGGCAGTTTAATCCATTTATAACCACGAAGCATCCTGAGGTACCTCAGCTGATGTGGTGGCATTTGAGGTGTTTTTTCAAGGGAGGATGTGCCTCACCAGTGACTTCCCTGGGGTTCATTAACTTGTTTTGGAAAATTCCTCAGTCATATTTGGCTGCACTTCATGTTAGATGGAACATTTAAAATTAATTAAACCGTGCCATATGGTTTATAGGTATTTTAAATGTGTTAAAGACATGAGTAATACATTTTATAGGTAATTAGAATGACATCAAAAAAAGGTGTTAAAATATATCAATTATGGTTACAAGCAAATGCTGTTGCACTTTCTAGCTCAGGCTTCATCTGCTTTGATGCAATTTTCCAACAGAAAAAAATACAAAACTAAAGAAACCCCAAGTGTTGACAAAGCCTAAGATCAAACAAAGGAAAAAGTGGGATCAGGGAATAAACCTGAAAATGTCTATTGTTTAATTAAAATGAATCACTTTTAGAGTGCTCTGAGCTACCTGCAAGCCTAGCTTGCCTGAAATAATTAAAAAGAAAGCTTATTAAAACCCTGATATAATTAAGAATAATTTTTTTCTAGAATTAAAAACAAAAAGCAAACAATACATGAAAAAATTAGAGAAAAATAATATAGTTGAAATAAAATCTTTCCTGGTAAATTAGAAAAAGAGCAATGTTCCACTTTTTCCAATTACAAAACAGTAAATGCAGCTCAGAGGAAACTCCAAAACCAGCTCTGCCCCTCCTGCTGAAACAGGAGACAAACCACAGCTTTCAGTTAAATTTGAATTATTCAATATTCACACCCAGTGCTGGAACACTGCCAGGGAGAGACCCAGACCTGTGACACACACAAATAACAATCCAGCCTTTGGCATTCCTGTATCCACAGGTGTTTTCCCAAAACTGTTTGCTTAAAGCCAGCAATTTTCCATGGAAATTCCATTTTCCACATCCAGCATCCTACTTGTACCCTGGCAAATGGCACAAAACCTTCAGGGACCACGGGGGGAGTGATGGTCCTGAATCCACCTCCATTCCAGCTGGAGATGGATTTAGGACCTGTTGGGTCATCAGATCACAGCATCACTGATAAACTCATCATCTCTCACTAATACCTGAGCATAATTAGGGGAAATGGATGTTTGGGGAGATTCTTTTTCTCCACAGTCAAGTAAAACCCCCTTAACTTACCCTTACACACTGAGGTCAGCAGGATGGGGAGAAGGATTAAACAACTTCAGGACTTTGGGGTTCCCAATTTGAGAGAGATTATACCTCTTTATACACTTATTAAAAATTATACCTCTTTATATATTGATATTTAGAGAGAGAAGACAGTGTGCCTCCACTGAAACCTGGTGTCATTAATGCAGCTGTTGATGACTGCAAACCTGTTCATCTTCCCAAGGCAATGGTTTATTTCTGAACTACCAAACACCATCAAACTCAGGAATCACTGCCTGTTTCATTTCTCAGATTATTCAGAAAAAAACCCAACTATTTTAGATCCTTATTGATATGGTAATAAACACAAACACGTTCCTTTCCAGCTCATAACACCTCAGTGCAAAGGAAGGGTGGAAAAGTGGGTCAAAGCTGTCTTTTAATGTATCAATCAAATTCCAACTAAATTAAAGCAGATTAATTAACAGGCAAGTCAGCAAAATAAAATCCTATGCAAGTACTGGTAAGTAAATGCATTACTTTTCACATCACAGCACTTCAAACTGCAACACAAAATGAATAAAAATATTGAATTCAAATTGCAAGGAAGCTAAAACCATTAACTAATACTTCTAAGTATAGTGCAATATTTTATCTGGAATTATTTCTTTCCCCCTTTAATTTGCCATCACTTGGCCACAATGAAAGCTGCTAAAACTGGAATTTTCCTAGGGGAATTCCACTGGGAAGTCTTTTAGTGAAGTTTTTGCAGCATATTCTCATCTTTTTCTAGTCTGGTAAATGTAGAAATACTAGGAATAAATGTGAGTTTGTTTAAAGGGGAATTATTTTTAAATGCTGCTCTGCATTTTCACAAAATCCTGGTTTTTAACCCTCTTCCAGTCAGGTATTTGAGCCAGGAGTTCAGACCCACTACAGCCCACAGGCACTGACTGTCAAGCAAAAATTGAAAATTACAAGTCATGTACATACATAAAACATTAAGGAAATCTTGGAAGGGGTTATGTCTGGACAACAGCTATTTTAGTATTTATTCTGGTTTTGGTGAGTTAAACCAGCATCAGGAGCATTTAACCTTCGTTAAACCTCTAATCCTCCTTTTCTGGAGGATAAAAAGACAACAAAAATTCATCCATGCAGAGGTGGAGGTGTCTCAGGCATCCAAAAAATTTAATTCCCATTTTCTGTCTTTCCTTCTGCATGTTATCCTATGCTTTCACTGCTCTCTGCACTCCACTGCTCTTTAATGTTTAGCTCTCTTTATTAAAGATATTCTAGAAAAAAAAATCACGTACTTCGCAAAATTAACAAGAAACAAGATTGCTTTCTTCAATGCTGAGCGATTTCTCAGCCCACAGCTCATGAATCCATTTTGAATTATATTTTCTCCCCTCCACAAGACACACTATATTCAGCTCATTTAATTAAAATTTACTGAGTCATTATCCCAATCTTCTACATACGGAAAAAGCAGCGCCATTTAAAAATAAATTAAGAACACGAGCAACAGTGCCGTCAAAATGAAACTCTCTCAGGCTTTACTAAAGCACTGTGGTCAGTACCTCAGTGAAACCCAAGTCCTCTGATGACAAGAAATTCAAGAGTTTGTGCTTTATCTTTATTATTCAAATAGGAGTTTTCTTAAGACATGTTTCTGAAGTTTTCTTAGCCATGCTGCTGCAAATGTAATTAAAATTCAGCTCCTTTTGCCTCCCCACCTCTCCCAGGTGCTGCCCATGCTGGACCTCCCTTGTGGCAGGACCTCAATCCTCCTGCTTGCTGCAATTAAAGAAGAGGAAACCCTCCCCAGCAGACTTCTCCACTGGAAATGGAGTTCAGGGCTGAAAAATGTACTGCTAATTTGAAACCCTTTCCTGAATTGCAGGAATTTGTACAACTGCATGAAATTCACGAATTGCAATTATTCACAGCAGACAGTAATGAACTCCAGGGTTTTCTGCAAAGAACCTCTCTCTGCTCTTCTCCAAAGGCAAGTTTATTTCATTTAGATTAATTCAGGATTACTGCCTTGTTATTGTGCTTCCTCTGGAAGCCATTTACAGTATGTTGTCAAAAATGCAAGCTCTGGGTCATATTTTGGAATTACCTGCACTTGGCAGAAATAACAGCTGTAATTTATGTTCATAAACCTAAAGCAGGCAGCATCATGTTCAATTCATTTCTGCAAACTGAGTGTTGATTTCTTCAGCCTGGTACTATCACAGCAAATGAAACTGATACCGTTCTACTTTTTATGGAAATGGAATGGGGACAAAAGCTGGGAATTTTCCTGAATATACAAAATGAGGTGCTGTGTGGTTTTTGCACACACTTCACAAAAGCAGTCATAAAAATAAAACTGAGATCCATCAAAAGGCAACAAGTTTCACATAAATTTTAGAGGTCATTGTTTAATTTAATACATTAATATTTTTTAATTAAAGGCTAGAAGTAGTGCTATTTTGAAAGGGATTTTGCTGGCTCTCTTGCAGGCAGGCAGCCAGTGAGGCTGTGGCACCATGTCCAGCTCTGCAGCAACAGATGCCCCAACTTCTGCCAAATTGTCACATTTGACAACACTTAACACCAGAACTCATGAAAACTCTTGAGGCCCCTGTGAACAAAGAGCCAGGGCAAAGATGGCAGTGCCCAAAGCTTCTGGGCACAAGGAGACAGCTCCAGCCACAAAATAAATGGCACAAATAAAGGTGGCACAAATGGCACAAAGATGGCACAAATAAAGCTCTCCACTGAAATCTCTCCAAGTTTTATCTATCTGGGAGCAACTTCTGTGTTTACAAACTGCAGAAGAAAAGCAGAACGAGGTGTTTTACAGGAGCAGGACCAGAAAAATTTTGTCTAATTTAGAAGCAGGTTCCTGATGCCAGGCTAAGCTTTGCACAAATCAACACCCAGTCCGAGAGGAGCAGGGACACACTCCTTAAATCACACCACAGTGCCATGGCAATCCTCCTTCAAACCCTCATGTTTGCTTTCCTCAGTGCCTTGCCTGGCCTTGTGGACCCTCTCTGTCCATGAATGATCCTGCCAAGCACAGTGACACCAGAGAACAGGCACAGCCAGTCTGTCCCCACTGCTCCCAGCACACACTGTGACCTTCCAGAGCTGCTGGCACTGCAGCCTGTGTCCAGCTCGGGCAGAAAGGCTGAGCTGGCCCAGACTGAGCTCCCAAAAACCAATTCTGGCTCCTCTGAGCGTGCACAGCCTGCCCTGAGCACTGAAGTAAGTGCCCAAAGTGCCACACTGACTGTGCCCATGCCAAATCACACCTGTAACCATCTCAGCCACACCTGCAAGGAGCTCCTGTGCTGCCCCAGCTCCTTCCCTGGAACTCCCAGCCTGTGCAAATACTGAAATGGAGAACAGAAAGGCAGGGAAGTCAGCAATGCCCACTGTGGGAGCGTTGCATCCACATTCTCTGAAAAATCCCCTCACCCAGGATTTTTCTCCTGGGAAGCTGAGAAGCCTCAGAGAAAAGGAAAACAATCCTAATCTCATTTGCTTCTCCTGTGTTTTGCTCCCTTAGAATGTGTTTGGAGATTGTTTCATTGGATTCTGCTGTGAGTTGTTTTCATTCTTTGGCCAATCCGTGCCAAGCTGTGCTGGGACTCTGGAAACAGTCACCGAGTTTTCATTATTATCTTTTTAGCATTCTGTATCCTTTCTGTAATCTTTAGTTTAGTATAGTATTCTTTAATATAATATAGTATCATAAAATAATAAATTAGCCTTCTGAGAACATGGAGTCAGAACTATCATTCCTTCCTTCCTCAGGGGACCCTGCAAATACAAGATGGGAGAGCCCTGTGTTGTCTTTTTATACAATTTAACCAGCACACCTGTGCTGTTTCAGTTTATGACTAATTCAATAATGCTTTAATGGGTATTGCTGGAAAAAACCATTTATATGTTGCTGGAAATCAATAGCTGGGGGTGTGGGTGAATTCCAAACTCTCCCCTGAGAATTACAATCCCAAAGCACAGCCACTATCACCCTAACCCTCACAAATGAACATGAACAATGATGGCATCTGTTATCCCTGGTAGGATCATGGCTGCTTGGAAAGAACCTGGAAGTGCATTTTCTTTTTCTTTTCATGTTTTCATCTGCTACTCTTGACCTCCAAATTAACTTTTCTCTCTTTTCTCAGCTGTATCATCCCCATGGCTGCAACACATCTCAACTGCCCCTTTGCCAACATTTTCAGAGCATTTTGTAGAAGCCTTTTAGTATTTCTGTACACACTTTGCATTCCCAGTTTTCTATCAGTACCTGGCTCTCTCTATATCAGGCCCTACATTAAACTGAAAACAAAATCTGACCCCTGACCTTAGAGAAAGCAGCACACTTGCCCCCTCAGTGCTCTCATACCAGCACAACAAAAAAACAAGCAAAAAACCCCAGGCCAGCCAGACTTCAGAGAGACTTTACAAGTGTTTGGATCTACAGCTGACACTACTGCATAAAAGGACACAGAAAAGCTTCTTGTAAGATTAAAACAAATAAACCAATGTAACATGATACCTTCCATTTTCCTGTAGCTTCTCACCTCCCTTCTTCCAGGAACATTTGGCCTTAGGGAAAGCTTTGGGTTTGCACTCAAAATCAACTGTGCTGCCTATCTGAACCTGGATCAGTTTCTTCATCGGACTCTTGGAAAAATCTGGAGCAGAAGCTAAAACAGAAGGGGTAGTAGCAGTGAAATAAAGCACTTTTAATGACATTAATGATACTACTAGTTAGCACTTACACGAGCACTTCTCACATTCCAAACGTAATTAACACCATTAATTAGTTCAGACAGATCTTCTATTGGGCAATTAGGCATTTTGTCCTCCTTTTCTGTACCTCATCCTGCTACCAAAGGTCTCAGCTTGCCAACAAGGCAAGCACAGAAGATCACAGCCAACAAAGCTCAAGGAACCCAGTTTCATGTTCAGCACCCGCCCAGGTGAATGCTCTGCTGAAGGGAGCAGATTTCTCTAATTAATATCACACCAGGAGTCTGACTGAACCTCAGGGAACTGGAATGTTCCCAGTTCCATGTGCCACTGGGTGTCAGATGTCAGGAAATGACAGCGCAGCTCATCCTGGGTGAGGTTTCCATGAATTAAGTTTGGAGAAGGCTCGTGGCCTCCTCTCCCTATGTAACACTGAACTTGGAAAGGAAATTCAGTGTTTGAGGAGAGCGAGGCTGAAGGAGCCTGGCGTGCTCATCCACACCACAAAGGGAACCACCAGTGTCCCCAAAGCACAGCTACAGCTCAGTCTGGACTGTGGCACAGGTGTGTCAGTCCCCAGCTGTGCTCCCTCCAACCAACAGCTGTGACTACTCCAGCCCCAAGCACAGGCAGCCTGGGGGTGGCTCAGTGCCACTGCCTGTCCCTGGCTCCTGAAGGGCTGCACACAGAGGTTTTTAACCCCACGGTGTCCCTGAGCCCCCCACAGGAGTGAGAGCAGCTGATGGAGCCAGCAGCTCCTCCACAGCACACCAGGGGTTTAATCCCAAACCCCCATCCCTGCTCTTCCCCTGTGAATAATTTATCCTGTTCTGTTTTAAATCAATGATTGGCCTGAAAATCCTCTGGCAGCAGATGACTCAACTCCTCAGCTCTGCAGATAAAGACATCAGGTTGACAAAAATGTTTTATTTCAGTGACAGCAGCTGAGTGAGTTAAATCTGAGGTGCAATCTGAGGGGGTGTGGAGAGGGATAATGAGGTTTGTGTTTTAGTGAAAAAAGGAACATCTTACCTACAACCCTGAGCTCTGCACTCGAAGAGATGACACCATGTTTATTTTCAGCTATGCACTGGTATCTGCCAGAATCTGTCAGATTTAGATTTGATATTGTAAGTGCACCATTTTCAATTTGGATCCTTCCCTGAATATTAAGAAAAATATCTTTATTGATGATATATTTCCTGTGAAAATTTTAAAATAAGTAAGGAACAGGAATAGAACAGCATAAATACAATGGATGGGGTAAATGCAAAAGCATAATCATGAGAACAGTTCTAAAAGAAGTGACAGGACTGCAGCACGGTACAGCAATGGTGATCAGATATGGAGATTGATGCAGTGTATGAAGTAATTCTTCAAATTTTCCCACTTGCAGTGAGGACTGGCAATCTCAAATGCCCTTTTATTTCTCCAGAAATACTGACAGAATCCTACCAGCCCCCTCAGACAGACCAGAGTATCCAAACTGTGCAGATGGCCCTGGCATTTCACACTGTTTAAGAGATTTCACATGTGCCACTTGCTAATGAGCTCCCTGTAACACTGCAGAAAAAATGCCAGCAGCCATTAAGCCAAAGACACAAACTGAAGTGCTTGGAGCCAGCACAGCTACTCAAGAACCTGGGACTCCTCACCTTGCTTATTTTGGAAAGCTCAATTACAGCAGCAAGTGGCTGATCTGAGAGGCAGAACTGGCGACAAAAGGAACCAGTGAGAAAGGCAAAACCAAAGGAGCAGCAGCTTTGAGGGAAACCAGAGACACAGGAATGCACAAACCCCAAACTGCCTGCCCAGAAGTGTTTTCTAAAGGCTGCTTTTGGATCTGGCCCAATCCAGGACAGCTCAGCTCCTTCCCTGACAGCTCCTGAGCCTGGGGAACAGCCTTTGGGGAACCAGAGACACAGGAATGCACAAAACCCCAAACTGCCTGCCCAGAAGTGTTTTCTAAAGGCTGCTTTTGGATCTGGCCCAATCCAGGACAGCTCAGCTCCTTCCCTGACAGCTCCTGAGCGCAAGGGGCTCATCCAGACAGACAGACAGACAGACAAGAACCTCAAAGGGGAAAAAGCTGAGTGTCCACGTCTTGATGTCCTCTGTAGCATCCCAAGCTGCTGCTCCTAGGGAAGATTTGTTCATGGGGAAGAGAAGAGCTGAGTGGAACAACCCCAGAGGTCTTTGTGAAGGAGACCAGCACACATCAAGGGGCAGAGGACACCTGATCAGTGCACACAGAACTCCTGTGGTCCCTGCCAGTGCTGGTTCCCAGAGCTCCCTCACTCTTTCCAAGGGAAGTCACAGCCAAAAGGCTGCACAGCAACACTCCAAATGGGAGAAACAGGAGACTGAGTGATTCCAAGGTGTTTTTGTACCTCCTGAGGTAAAAAAAGCCCATTGCCTCAGTGACTCTGGATGACACAGCAACAATGCTCTTAAATCACCCAGAGGAGATTTTGTGCTCCCTCATTTAACCTGTCCACAAAACACCACCACTCCTTTTAGCCAGCATGGATCTCAGAAATGCTTTCCAGTGCTCTGCTGATTTTTCAGAGCCATCCAGTGAATTCACCTGAGCAGGCCCTTTCTGCCCCAAAATCCAGCGCTGAGCACAAGGCACAGGCCAAGGGCAGAAGTGCCTGGAGTTCATATTCCTGATAACCTGAATGGGGCTGCTTTCCAACAGAGCATTGAGACTTAAAATCCATAAATAAGGGGTATCAGATCCTGTTCTGCATTTCTGACCTTTCCCCTTCTAACTTCAACCTCTCTTCCCTGTTACCAAATGCATTAATTTCAATTAATTTATTATGACACCTGCATTAAAGCAAATATCTATGTTATGTTGCTGTTTGTATTCCATTCTTTGCAACAAGTAGTGGTAAACTCTTGAATTTTGTCAAGAAGTTGGAAAATATTTTCTTACTACCTTTAATGAAACGCCAGCTGCAAATATAGTAAAATAATTCAAGCTCTCCATCTCTTATTTATAGTTCTTTATTTATAACTTTATTAAACTTCCTTCTCCAGTCATTCCTTACATGTTTCTTTCTGTGATTCTATTGTTTTTGAATCTGCTTTTAGCTGGAATATTTCTGTACAATATAATTTGTCTTTGCAGCCTTTGAGGCTTCATCAGGATACTCTCAAAAACTACAAGCCCTATATCAAAACTTCTCTTGACTAATACACCAGGGAACTCTGGATTCTCTTATTTGCATGGATATTGCTAATTTTACACAGCACCACTTCTTCCCAACAGAATGTTACCTCTATTGCCAGCTGCTCTCCATTCTTCAGCCACCTGTAGGATGGTTTGGGCTTCCCACTCGCCCTGCAGTCCCAGTACAAAGTGTCCTCCACAGCAACTTCCACGTCCTTTATGCTCTGGATCCAGTGAGGCTTTGCTGCAGGTAAAGCACACAACAAAGACCCCCACAAGTTACTGCTCCTGAAGACAATCAAAGGGTTAATGGGCACAGAACTCATCCATTTTCTGCACAGACTCATCTGCACCAACAGAGCTTCCCACTGCTTCTGCTCCAAGCCCCCTGATGAAACAAATCACTTATTATTCCTCTTACACATCTTTATTATGAGCACTAAACCCGAAGAAAACTGAGAGTACAGATCACTAAAGCTGGACTAGTGAAACCAATATTAAAATCACTAATGATTAAACAACATCACTTTGCAATTGAGGCAAATGTAAGAGAAAGACATTAATGGCAAGACTGAAATTAAATAAGTGATGTGGCTAAATCATCAAATTAATGCTGAAGAGAATCCTTTAAGTCTTAAAAAAATAATGGTATGTCAGCCTTAGTGCTAAATACCATTTAAATTGCTTTCTAATGCAAGGCAGCACTTAACTGCATGAAAACATGGATATATGAGATTGTTTTTGAAAGCAGAAGTCTTGGCACAGAATTTGAGTAATGCAAACCAGTAGAATAAAGTCCATAAAAATCACTGTTTTTTTAAGACAAAATTTGAAGCAATAATACCAGACATCCTTCAGAATTACCCAAAATACAGTTAAAACTGTAAAGATATTTAAAACATCCATTACAGCCTTCACAGGAAGGAGAAAGCTCACTTGGCATATAAACATCAGTGCATGAAAGACAACAGTAATTTATTTTTATTCCTTTAGTGCTGTTTCACACATCAGTTCAACACTGTGTTACAGATAATTTTTGAATTTTCTTTGAATTTATTTAATTCACTAGAAAGTTTATAATCTCAGCCTATGCTATTTCTCCAAGAAAAAATAAATTCTGGACAGCGTGTATGGAAAAAACCAGATGAAAGAGCAGGGTGAAACTTGGCTGCTATAGGCAAAGAATTTTCCAGAGTCAATTTGCTTCTCTTAAGTCACTAATTTAGGAAAATCTCCATGTGAAGACACACATGTGAAAACAGCAGGGAGAAAACAAGTCCTTGGTGATGCAGAAAACATTATTTACTACATGAGTTCAGGAAGGACAGAAGGTCAGATTAATTCCCATTGAACCTCCCACTACACTGGAGTTCAGCGGCAATTAACTCAGGCCAGGGAAATTAATGATTTGCCCATGGGCACGAGGGAGGTGGGCACAGCTGAGAGCTGAACCTTTCCACTGCCACAGCACCAGCCAAGCCAGGCCTGGGTCAGGGCTGGCACTAATTCCATTTTAAAACAGTCCTTCTTTCCTAGCATGGAAATTTCCTCTCAATCCCAGGCTCTGCAATGCAGTGAAAAGACCTCAACACGACCATGCCCAGCACCAGGCTTTTATGATAATGATTATTAATCTAGTTATGATTTATGTATCCATATTTAGGGTTAACTCCTTACAGAAGAACTTCTTAAAATGTATTCACTGAGGTTTTAACTACTAATAAATACTGGAATTCAACCAATATTTGCTGACAGTGAAACCCTCTGAATATTACTTTTTTTTCACATCCCTATGAGGATTAACACCTTTCACAGATTTGGGGATAATTTATTTTTTTCACCCTCTTTATCAAGGTCAGCTGCAAAATACAGGATGACCTGATCTTTCTGTCACATGGATGTACAATTTCACTGGTATTAACTGGGATTAATACCAGTTACAATAACTCCAAAGTCCAAGTTACAACACTGGAGTTCAAGCCAGCCCTTGCTTCATCCCACATTGTCACTGGGAGAATTTGTCCCACATGTGTCAAGGGAATGAAAGCTCAGGGCTCCATGTAATGAGAACTTTGCACACCTAAACATTCATGCAACATTCAGCAGTGCTTGAATTACTGATGCATCCATACATGTGGAATATTTAACATCTGCTGCCCATCTCCACTTGAAAGTAGGTTAAATATAATCTATTTTCAAGTCTAAAGCTCTTGGATTCAATTCTACCAATTAAAAATCATTGTCTATCTGATCTTGTTTCAGGACTGTGTCAGGCAGTCTCCACAGGAGGCTTTCCCAAGTTCCCACACAACACAGTAAAGCAGAAATGCACAGAACAGCTTCCCAAGGCCAGGGTGAGGAATTCCTGCTGCTTGTCCGTGCACAAGAGAGTGCTGATGGAGACTTCAGTGATTTCCTGGAAGAAGGCTCTTTTTCTCTTCCAATTCCTGATGGAGGAGTTGAGCAGGAAGAAAAGCACCATTTTCAATCTGCCTTTGAAAGAGAACAATTCCCCCAACCAGATCAAAATTGAAAAGGGGCAGTTCCAGCTGGGAATACTCTGAGTCCTGGCCAGGATAAAGGTGCTTCATGTGCAGAAAGCAAGTCAGAAAATCAGAAAGGAGCTCTGATACTGCTCTGGTGCTCTGACACCCTCCCAAAACAGGAGCAGGACTTGCCAAGCTCAGCACTGCCCATTTTTATTGAGCTCTGCCTGAGGACACCTGAAGGACTCTGAATAAACAGCTTTATTCCCCTCAAGGTTTAGTCACTGCCAGGCAGATTTTAGCCCAAAAGATCTGATCCCACCATCACTGCCACATCTGTGCTCCTGAAGGAAGACTTGGTAACAAAGCCTCATTTTCTCCTGGAACTGCTGCAGAGTAATTGTGAAACCTGGATCTTCCTGAGGAGAGAAAAGGAGTCACTTCTTCCTAAAGCAAGGAATAAGCAGGCAGCACATCCTTGCTGAGATTTAAAAAAAAAAAAGATATTGTCCTATAAGCCAAGAGGTTGGAAGTTAATTTTAAAGGAGTTCACAGTGCAGGGTTGGAGGCTGTGACAGGAATCTGTATTTTGGGGCAATATTAAGAATTCTTGGGAACTTGCTGTGCAATCTTCATGAAAGATTCATCTGGAGCTCCCCCAGGATGAAATGCTTGTAGGTAAGTGATTTTCTGAAGCAGGTTAGCCGTCAGCTCCATGGCCAGTCACTTGGAAAAGCACCAGCCTGGATTTTGCTTCAGTTGTTTCAGCCTAAAATATTACTCGCAGTGCTCGTGGTCCCAGAGGCAAGGAGAGAACAAGTGTGTAACTTCATAAAAAGCATCCCAGGGAGAGGCCTCTCTCATCTTTCCTGCTGGTTATGATGACCCTGCTCTCCCAGCCAGTTAAGCCTGCAGGAAACAACTGTTGCTTCATTACACTCCAGGCCCTCCCTGTAGGCCAAAAGGGAAGGAAGAACCATTTTTTCAGGTTTTACAAAATCCTTTGTCATGTCCTGGGGGTTGATGTGAAGGAAGACCAACTGCAGGGATGCTTCTGGCTGAAGAAGTGACATTTTCCAGAGGCTTTCCAGTGCTGGGATTTGTGAGTTATTTGTGGGCTAACCATGCACAGTGCATCAAAACACGTGTTTTTTATGTATTATTTCCTTCAGAGTGAGAGAATCCAAAAATCTGTTTTTAATTCTACAGGCCAAGGGAATGGAGGGAAGGGAAGGCAGAACTTCAGGGCCATGACTCCTGCAGGGAGTTCTGTGCTCTGCTGGGAACCAAAGCCCCTGGGGAGCTCCTCCAGAACAAAGACTCACACAAGATGTTCCCTTTTCACTCTTGCACTTCGACATTTCACCATGAAAGCTGGGCTGGAAATCTCTGAAACACCTCTGGGGAGCTCAGCAGTTGGGCAAGAAAATCAGAGCAGAAAGAACTTTGCAGAGCAGAAGAGAGGAAGTTGTGAAGCAAATGGGGGAAAAACCCACCCCAAAAGTGTAACCTGCAGTTCTCCTGCCTCAAAGACAGGCTCTGACACTCCCACTGATGAATCCTTACTTCATCTCAAAACTCCAAGGACTTCAAGCACAAATCACTTTTGTTCTGCTGAGCCAGCTGGGCCTGGAGAAGCAGCTGACACATCTCTGAAAATGTCCATTTTCTGGCTCCCACTGGAAAATAAGAGTGCACTCAAGCAACAGGTAATTCCAAATCACTGGGAAAAGCTTTAGTATGTAAAAGAAGAAAACCTGTTTGTCTGGGCAGCAAGAAAATGACATTATTAGACAGCATTAACAATTAAACTCTAGGTGATCAAACTCAGCAACTCACTGATATTATTCAGTCATTTGTAACTCTGCTGTTGATGTTTTGAAGACATGCCAAGCACAAGACTATCAGATAAAACCCTTGAACGGAGATATTCTTCCACATACACAAACAACAGTTTCAGTTTAGTTTTGCTGGTAGATTATTTTTAAAAAACCCCAAAATATACCAGTATTTTTAACACAGTAAAAAAAATAGGTAGATCCTACTAATTCCTCGGGGACTTTGTTATCACAGACAAGCACTGCAAAGCAAAAGGAGAAGAGCAGCAGAATTTCTTTCTCCCTGTCAAACATTTACCTTGGTACTGCCAAGCAGGACTTCTGGTATGTCAGCATGGGCTAATTAAGAATATATTTCCTTCAATTATACTTTAAATTAATTGCTTTACATATCTTTACCGTGCTTCATGTTTAATTGCATCCTAAAACACAAAAATACAATTGTTTCATCTCCTCTCATTTTTCTCTGCCATGAAACATCTCCCTGGATTCTTTTTTTTCTGTTATCTCTTTGTGGGAAGCTAAAAGTGATGACAAACGAACACGCTAATAAAGGGAAAGCAAATTATTTAAATCTTCAGGTTCTACATTCAATCAAAGTTGGATAATCTTCTCCTATTTTTAGCACAATCTGAACTCTCCTGAGTAGAAAACTGGCATTTAACAAATGTTGGAACTGTAAAAAGGACAAAAACCAGAACATTTGATGTCAGGCTTTTCTTGATAAAATCCTTCAGGAGAGAAAAGGAAGATTAATAGTCTGTGAGTATTGCAGTGAACCCAGAATATCTGGTTTAGAATATCTATTTTAATTACCAATGCCAACTATAGGTTAAGAGCTATATTTAAAACACACCATAATTATAATAAAACAGACTCATTTCATTTCTTTCAGGAGTCACAGATGTGACAGATTTATGGGAATTCTTGGGAAACTGACTATGGACAGGACTGAAGCTGAGCCTATGCTCAGGGCTTTGTGGCTTCAAGGCTCATAATAATTCATCCAATAATTCATTACTGGATGAAAAAGGAAGGCTTTTAACCAAACTATTTATGAACTGGAAAACCTGATTTTCAGATTTCAAACTTTGCAGTTTCAGCTCATAAAACAAATCAGAACAGGAGTGTTTCACTTTGTACCAGAACAATGAATGTTTTAAGCTTTGGTTTAGGACCAGCTTTATGTAACATTTACAAAGAATCCTTAAAGTTTGCAAAGAAAGAAAAATCTATTTTTCAGGCACATCAACGATTTTTATCAATATTTTTTCTGCCTAAAGATTTCTTCTTCATATTATTTCACCATGACAACTTGCAAAACATTAACCCAAATCCTTCTCATACTGGGTTTTTTTTTGGGTCAGGCAGAAATGTGCTTTGTTCTGCCCAGAGGAAAATTAACGTTGTCACTATTGAAATAAAAAGATGTTTGTACTTTTGTAATGTTTATCTTTTTCTATGTTTGATAAGCGGACATGCCTTAAATGTCCACCAGTGAAGTGTTCTAACACCAGCCACCATTCCCTAAAAACAGATTTGTGGATTTTTGACAGCATTGGTACTTTCTGGCAGATGGGTGATTTTTTACTCTATGTCTCCAGTTTATTGCATTAGTTTCCCCCAAATCCTCATCTGCTTTTAGAATAACTTCCTTAAATATTGATCTTTTATTGGAAGGCTGAGTGGGATGTGGTTAGATTTCTTCCCCAGACAGATTTCTGGGCTTTGGCACCAGATGAGGTGGCAAACCATCAGAAGATATTATCTTCAGTTATAAAACTTCAAATTATCAAAGGAAGTTATAAATGCTCTTATCCCAAATCCAGGCTTGTTGGAATTCTAACTGCAACAACAAAGCAAAATAAGAAAGATTACTTAAATCTATTTAATTCTGCAGAATGGGTTCCATGAAGCAGAACAAATGAAATGAAACAGTTGGAGTGCCATTACTGCCATTACTGCTCTCATTATTCTTCTCAAGATAAACATTCAGACCAGGGATGACTCCTGACATGGGCAGCCATTCCTACTGGAGAAGGAACTCCGTTTGAGGGCTCAAATCCCTGTCTAGATTTGCACTGAAAATGTTCACGATGATTCCTGCAGTGGGGTTGCTTTTGTTCATTAGCAGCATCCTTTATTTCAGCTCTGTGGCCTTTTAATGAGCAAAGAAGAATTTGGGCAGCAGGGCAAGAACCCCAGGAATGGCCACTGCTGGAATTACAAGGACTGATGAACAAATCCACTCTATTTTATATCTAATTTCTCTATCCATTTTTTATCTACTCTAATTTATATCTGATTTACAGTGATGTATCTCACAACTGCCCTGATTTAACACTGCCATAGGAATGTTGAGCCAAAATGATGCACAAACCCCAACTCTGGAACTCCCACGCAAAAGTGACCTTTTCTAAATTAAGGTCACTTAATAAAAACTTGTAAATTTTATTTAAAAATAAAATGGACAGTGCCAAGTTTGTCATGGCAGAGGACACTGGCAGGTGAAGCAGCTTGGATTTATTGCCCTATGTCAATCATTGGATTTCTCAAAAAGTCATAATTACAATCAGTGCCTGGGAAATTTGTGCTGCTTCAAGTCCCCTGCCCAACCTGACCCTGAAAATTTCCAACAAAGGAACCTTCATTCAGTGTAAAGATTAATTTGGAAGTTGGTAGGGAGAAGAATTTTCCTTCCTCCTCATAAAATCTATTGTGCCTTAAACTAAAATCTTCAAGGAGCAAAGTCTGTGTGTTCTACCAGCCAGCAGCTCCCCATGGAGAGGCAGTAAAGAACTTGCTCCCAGCTGCAGAGGAGCTGTGCTCTGTGCCTTACCCAACTCAAAACCCATCTCCTTGCTCAAATATTCCTCCATGAGGGAAACATTCCAAGGCAGAGTCAGAATCACTGTTTAAATTGCCATTGAAGTAAAGAAAATTATATTTGCTGAGATCTGGCTTTAACAAAAATTGTCAATTACCACTTTGTTGCAAATCACTCTCGCTTTACACCACCACCAGTGTGCTTTGCTGATACTCATTTCACTCTATAGCCTTAAATGCACAAGAGACTGCTTTTTTCCCAGCTATAAAATTTCATATTATTTCATTTCCTATACTGGATTATATCCTCCCATTTATTTACTCATTTTAAAATAAAATTGGCTGTTTTGAAAGCACAGGATTGAGAATATCCATCAGTAATCTTTTCAGAAAGCAAGACAAAATTTGTACTTCCCATAAATGGGAGGTCTAAATGATCCCCCAAATAAATCCAATTGACTGAAAATTGCAGGTTTCACCAATGGACCAAGAAGAAATGTTGTAAAAAAAAATAAATGTCTTTCCATCAGAGAAAAAACCAAGCCCAAGCACACTCTGCTCTACTCTCAGCAATCCTTGTGAGCTTTTAAGCCATTTCTTAGAGACCTTACCAAGAAACTGATGCAGAAGTTCTCATTTTCTGGAAGGACTTAAATACCATGGATTTTTAATGGTTCCAAATGGAACTGCAGAAAGTGGAAATCCCAGAGTAGCCCAGAGCAGTTTGTGTTTCATGAGTAAAGAAAGGTGGGAGAGACAGAACAGAGGTGTCCTACCATAGTAAGTGAGACGTCCTCTTGCAATGTTTTTGCCCCTGGAGTTTTCAGTAATGCATTCATAGAGCCCTGCATCCTCCTGCTGGAAATTAGGGATTTCAATCATGCCATTGGATTTCCTCAGCTTTATTTTACTTGGAAATGGCAGCCCGTCAGTTCTTCTCCAGTTAATCTGAGGCACAGGGCTAAAGAGAGAGTAATGAGATTTTAAACAGTTTTGCTTAAAGCCCTTGATTGTCATAATGAGATACTTAAAGCAAACTAAATTCAGCAGTGACTTGCAGGCTGTGTTAAAAGCAGTAACCACACTGTACATGACAGATGGTCAGACACTCAGGCACCTGATTTGCATTCCCTGCTGATTCCTACGCTGCATTTGTGGTCCCAAATTTGTCAGGAATAACTCTGTGAACGCCCAATAACTGCAACATTTCTTGTAAATCAGCACTGGCCTCCCCAGAGGATGGGTGAGATTTACCAGTGGCTTCTTCTATGGAGGGAGAATCCAGGCAAGGATTGGAATTACCATCCTCCAGCAGCCTTTAATTCTCTGATTTGCAAAGTTTGCCTCCCCTCTGCAGGGAGCCAAAGCAACAGTGTGTGATCAAGTTATCAATCTGATATGGGCACCTGACAAACTGCCTGCAAACAAAGCCCACACTGGTAAATAAATACATTTACAGAAACACAAATGCATTCTCAGATCATCTGTGAAAGAGAAAAGATATCAGCTGCGAGTGAAGCATCATTCAGAGGAGAAATGCATTTCAATCTTTATTTTAGCTATAAAGAAAGAACAATATTATGAAAGCATCAAGTACATTTAAGGGGAAAATTCAGACAACATTCTCACAGACTTCAGCACCATTTCCTTGAACAAAGAAAGGAGACTTAGCTCAAAGGTCATATGCAAAACCACACTGGAGTTAATTTGAAATGAAATGTAAATTCCTGTGCTGCCAACATACACATCTTAATTCTAAACAAAATCAAAACACACTCCAAGAGTCTTTGCCCTCTCCTTTCAAGGCAGGAGCTGTGATGACCAAAATCAGGGAAACATCAGAACCCCCAGCCCTTGTGCAGGTGAGCCCAAAGGTGCTTCAGCTTCCAGTGAAGATGAACTTCAGCTTCAGCTTCCAGTGAGATGAACACTTACTTTCCCAGTGCAAAGCACTCCAGCTTCACAGTGGAGCCTTTGGCTGCTGCCAGCGTCTCAGGGAACTGAACTTCTATTTTGGGCTCGTATTCCCCCATCACACCTGTGGCAGACAATTGAGAAGGTCAGATTTTGAAGGTGATTTTCAAAGGGTTTTCTTTCTCTCTCTTGCAATTCAAGATTATTTATCTGACAATCTGCTTATAAAGGGAAGCACAGTGAGATCAGAGACAGAGTTAGGATGCAACAAAGCTTATCTTATAAGAAAGTTTGACTGCGGGAATTGGAAAAACAGAAACTTCCACAGACACTGAAGGATTTGATCTGCAGCATTGAGAGAAGCTTGGATTGATGTAAAAATACAATACACAGACATTAAGCAGGAAAATAATAAACTTCTGTTTCTATAGATGTAGGTGAGACTATCCCTTAAGTGAGAAACTGTATTGATAAAATGGTGAAGGGTTTATAATCTAAATGTGGGGTTGAATGGAATAAGTAACAGAAATATAGAAGTTACAGAATAGAAATTAATAGAAATAGAAGTTAGAGAACAGAAATTATAGAAACAGAAGTTACAATAGAAATAAGGAATAAATAACAGAAATACAGAAATAGAAGTTACAGATTAGAAATTATAGAAATAGAAGTTAGAGAACAGAAATTATAGAAACAGAAGTTACAATAGAAATATATGTGTGTACATGTGATAACAGCCCATTGGATAAAAGTATCCACAGTGCAGCAGAAGTAAGTAAAAGTGAAAGGTTAGATAACCAAAATAAACCCTGTGGAAAGTGTCCATCGGTTTAGAAAGTTCTATACTGCCTTGTGTCAAAGAATTTGTGACTACTCTGAGCTATGACCAAGTTCTTGCTCGTCCAAAACCTCACAGACTCTACGCCTGATGTTCATCTGAGAAACAGATCAATCTCAGCCCCACAATGGCCCCACCCCTTCATTACAAAGGTGACAATGACAGCACAACACATGAGATTTTATGGTTCAAGAGCCAATAACTCCGGGAAGCCAGCGATGCTGGGAACGCCCCAGGCCCCCTGGCAGCCGTACCGTCGGTGCGCAGCACCAGGGGCGTGGGGGAGCCCAGCACGGGGCTCCTGCTGGCCCTGCTGGTCACCACGCAGCTGTAGTTGCCCACGTCGGAGGGCTCCACCTTGGCTATGTACAGGTGCCCTGTCTCCTGGGACACGAAGCGCCGGCTGTCCTCCTGCACGAACGACGGGTACTCGTTGAAGATCCAGGCAAAGGACAAGTCTGGGTGGGGAAAGCACACAAGCAAAGGTGTTTGATAGGATTTTTCCATCTTTTTTTCCTTCAAAGATCACTTTATTGCTGTATTTGACAGCACTGCTGTGGCATTCACATTTCCAAAAAAATCCCTTCACACAGGATTTTTCTCTTGGGAAGCTGAGAAGCTTCAGCGAAAAAGGAAAACAATCCTCATCTCATTTGCTTCTCCTGTGTTTTGCTGCTTTGGAATGTGTTTGGAGATTGTTTACCCACAGGTGATTGTTTCATTGGATTCTGGTGAGAATTATTTTGACTCAATGGCCAATCAGTGCCAAGCTGTGTCAGGACTCTGGAGAGAGTCACGAGTTTCATTATTATCTTTTTAGCATTCTGTAAGTATCCTTTCTGTATTCTTTAGTATAGTTTAGTATAGCATTCTTTAATATAATAGAGTATCATAAAGTAATAAATTAGCCTTCTGAGAACATGGAGTCAGATTCATCATTCCTTCCTGCCACGGGGATCCCTGCAAATACAGTACACTGCATCATTTACAGTACTTTACTGCGTAACAAACAGGGCCAGTGACTGAGAAAAATACAGTTTAAAAAGTACCAGAAAGTTGCAAAAACCCCACATTTTTTCTTCACCATCTCCTCCAGCATAAGAAAAAAAAAAAAAGCAAAAGAAATCCAGAATATTGAGCAGGCATGTTTAAATCTCCTTTTCTTTTTTTCTTTTTTTTTTTTTTTTTTTTTAATTTAACATGCACGGAAATAGGAGCAGACAGAAAAAAAGAGAGCAAACTTTGCTAAAATGGAAAGATTATTCATTCAGTAGCTACTTAACTCCTCAGCCAGATGATTAGCAGGTAGAAACAGGACAGCAGTATCCACGTGATAAGGATGTCAGAAGAAGCCTAAATTCCCAGTAGGGCTCATCACACAGCAAAATTATTTTTTTCATACAAAAATCCATAAAAACTCCATTAAAAGCATTTCTGTGTGATGTGGCAAAGTAGCACTCACACTATTCATTATGATTATTTGAAAGGGAAAAAAAACAAACCCACAGTTCGAAAGAGAAAACAAGAGATTTGGCAAAAAAAATCCACTGAATTTGTTTTGTTTCCTGAGCATCCTCTGAGCCTTGTGTGGCCAATTTAAATTGGCAAAAGCCCCTTCCTGTGCCAGGCCACGTGTTTGTCTCATTCATTTCCTGCAGGATCAAAGGAAAATAAATTTTTAATGGTGTTCTAGGCAAGGAATAATTTTTTTCACCCACGTGGCACTTATACAAAGATTACAGCTTCTGGAAGTGCTAATTAGCAATGATTACAGCTTGATTGACCTCTGTTGTGGCGCAGTGTCTGCAGCACTGGCACTGCCCCCACGAAATGGAGATCAGCCCTTCCTGCACAGGTTTAATTTCAGGGGGCACAAGTTTGGGTGCAGCATGAAATGAAAAGGTGACACATCCTGAACCCTCAACCCCTCCCCAGGCTGCCAAAGCCAACAGGACAATTCAACACAAGGTGGGACTCTGCAGGTGAAAAAAACCCACTCAATAAATGAAATTATTAAGATATTTATAGGTTGGCTAATGCAAAAAAGGCATCAAATGAAATGGCTGATAATTAACCTGCATTTAATTTTCTTCTATCAATATTTAAACCCCTTCCATTATGATAATTTTGCAGCAGTGGCCTGTGCCAACCATTAACAGGCTCAGGAGTTAAACTTCTGTCATAGTTAGAAATACTAGAAATAAATAAAAATAAATGAGTATCTAAATAAATAAATAAATATTATAAATAAATAAGTAAATGTTAGAAACATTTAATGCCAAAATCAGAACCATAAGGAGGAAAAGACCTGCAAGACCATCACCCCTGTGGACCTGCAGCATCTCCTCAGGAGCACCAATGGCTCTCACCACAATTCCCTCCTCCAGAACTCAGAGGTGCAATTCATTTATGGAAAGGAAGGCAGCAAGGATTTCTCAGGAAACAGTGGGGGAATTAGTGCAGAGGGAAGCACTAAATTATTTCAAAAATAAAGAAAAAAGAGCACAGCTGAGGAGTTTGAAGGGGATTACATGGTCTGAGGGAGCAAGGAATGGGGGGTGCTTCTAAATGGGAAAGGCAGAATACTGAGTAGAACAATTTCTGCAAGAGCTGGGTGGACACAGTGATCTCAGGGCTGAGGGAGGGGCTGCACACCAAATCAGGGACCAAAAAACCACAATTTTCACCTCCACACCAAACTCAGACACCCACAAGGCAGCCGTGGGTGACACCAGGCTTTAGTGCTTCTGGTATTTATTGAACCACCTGTGTTTCCTTGCTCAAAATATTATTTCATGCTTAAAATTTAGGAGAAAATAAAAAGAAAAAAGATGTTCAGAACAGTGTGGAGATCTGGAGATGCAGCAGGAAAAGAAGCAGCTTCATTTCATTGCTAGGATATTGGGTTAAGAAAGTCAAGAGTGAACCCAGTGAAATCAGTCACCGGGATTATGGCAGCCATGCAAAGTGGATTCCAGTTTAATTGGGTCCTTCAACCCATGAATAAACACTCCTGGAAACCTAATTCCCCATTCAACACTTATTTTCACTGACTCCCTTAAAAAAAGGCTGGGGTATTTCTATCCCTGTGCCCCACCACCTCATTTTATATTTATTGTCCTTTACAAAATTGCACTCTTATTTTCCAAAATAAAAAAAAAATCATATTAAACAACTTGTGGTGTGATTTATTATGTTTACACCATTTGCCTGTTGCTGATCTTAGGGCACCTCCAGGGACACAAACTCACTCCCTTTCTGTCAATTACAAGTTTTCAGTTGATTTTCTGTTATAAATGGAAGTAATATGTCTCTCCTGGGCTTCCTCTGAGTTCTAAGCCTTTGCTTTCCAATGCATTTTTTCCTTATTTGGCGACCATACATGGATAAGGTATTGGAAATTACAGTTATTACTCAATTTTTATTTGTTTACTGCGTCTTGGTTGGCGGCTTCTCTTTATTTTGCATTATTTGATTATTATTTACTGTGCAGTTTCCAACACACTCAGCATGTTCACACTGTTCCAGCCCTTTTGTGCACCTAAGTGCTCAATTAAAAAAATGTTTATAAAATTACCTGTCATTTTTAAACCTGAATTCTTTATGAAATTCAACAATTAAATCACCATGGCCTTTGGGTTTTACCAGGGTCATTTCCTGCTATTTATGAACCTTAAAAAACCCCAAATTACTGTTGCTAAAGGAACACAATGGGGTAAAAGCCACACATTTATTGGTTTTTAACTATGTTAAAAGTCAAGGCTTAAGTTTATGCACATCCTTTTGAAAATATGGTTTCAAATTAAGTTTAAAGTATTTTATAACTACAGAATTTAAAGAAATGACACATTTCCTCTAAGTGAGACTGAAACACTTCACTGGAAGATCATTTACAGAACCAGGGTGATTTTACTTCTTGTAGACAGAATTTCAGTGACAACAGCAGTGCTGGAAATCCCAAACTGTAATTAAATTCAGGAAGTTGGAAAAGCAGAAGTTTAAGGGGGGAAAAAGGCACACAGACCTATGATGAAAAGGAGAAGGACAATTCACAAAGTTAATTTTATTCACTTTTTGCATAAATAATGTCAGCTTTTGTTCCTTCTGGGCCATCACTTCTTTATGCCTGCTTAATACCTACCTGCCAGCCCCGTAATTCACACCTAAATGAGACTTCTAAAACAGCCACAAGTAAGTGATGTGAACAATGTTCTTCTGAACCAGATTTAAAATGTTCCAAAATGACTGGATTTGATTTAGCCAAGTGGGTGTTTCCAAAAATAAAGCTGGTAAGAAATGAAAATTTTGATTTTAGGGAGCATGGAGCTGACTGAACAAGACCTCAAGGTGAAGAAAAACCCCAAAAAATCCAGAAACCCAAACTAACAGAAACAACCAACCACCAAACCATAAAGAGGTTTCATGTCAGTCATTGATGAACAAATCCCAATTATTTAATGGACTTCTCCAGCTCTGATTTTACAATATCCTGTAGCAGAGACACAAGGAGAAGCTGAAATATCCTGGAATTTTGTGTCTCCCAATGGCTGTCTGCCTATCCCACAGGATGGCACGTGGCTCCTGGAAAACTGTTTCCAAGGAGGTAATCAGACAGAATTTAGCAATGACAGAAACTGCAATTAAAAGCATGGAAACAGCTATTTTGAATGATCTACCTTAGGTTAAAAGTGATGGAAAAGTAACACTGATTTTGAGAGGATAATAACAGACTCCCTAATTAAGACAGAAACCAATTAGTTCATCATTTGGCCCAATTTCAGCTGCAAGTGTGACGAAATGGCAGGAAAGGGAGCAGAGTTTGGGGATGAGCATCCCTCAGGAGGGAGGAGCTCTGAGAGCTCGCACTGAGCATTCAGGCTGGGTTTTGTGGGACAAACACCCACCAAAATGTCCATTTGTCACCACTGCTGCAGCCCTGGCTGCACAGGAACCTCTGGGAAAGGGCAGACAAATTAGCTAAAAGCAGGAAATTAATTAATGAGGTAAAAGTGCATCAAGGTCCCAGAGGATGCTCTGGGGTGCAAGCTGTCCTCACCTCCCCGCAGGCAAATCCTTGGATTACACTGCTGTGGGACTGGGATTCTGGAATGCCAGTGCTCCCAGGGGTATAACTGCTTTTATTTTACATAAATTACTTCAAGCTTCTCCTTAATACTTCTTCTTTCTCACTTGGGCCAATTTTCCTGCACTTAGCTCAGCACCTCGAGCACCCCATCCTCCCCCAGCTGCTCTTGGTGCTGCCTTCCCTGTGCCATAAACCAAGTAACATCTCCCTCATTTCTTCTGGCAAACGTTAAAGGCTGCTTTCCAAATAAAACCCTTCTGCTCTGGAGGCGCAGGGCAAGGTGTTTGTGTGCTCCCATAACATATCTGTAAACTGGAGCTTAAAATGTCACGAGGTGCCTCTGTCAGAAATCAGCATCTTGGCAATGGAAAA